TTTAAAAAGTTATTTAAATTCGTTGCAAATTATTTAAAGGTCTTCTTTTCCTTCACAGGTTCCTGTTTCTACTTTATTCCCACTTGTGTTCTTTCTTCTACAGAATCAACTCGAACCAATCTCTTTCCCTACTGGAAGAGAAAAGGATGAATGCTGCTGGTGCAGTTCAGGGGGGGGGATGAAAGTATATTTTGTGATACTTCCTTGGTTAAAAGCAAGGTCCTGAGTTGGATCCCTGGTACCAAAAATAAAAAAACAACAACAACAACAAAAAAAAAACTGGCACTAAGCTTGACAAAGAGACTCACTCATGCCTACTCTGTCTCTAAACTCTAGATATTTTAAAACATAGATTAATTCATTTATTATAAGGTAGGAATGTTTCAAATCATAGAGTTTAAACTGGCCTTTTTGTTTCTTCATTCTTCTGATGGCCAACTTTACTGTGTCTGCAGAAGTGGTGTAGTAGGTTGTTTTCACACAGGAACTACAGTGCCAGATTCCCATCTCTTCATCTTAGCCTTGCCACAGAAGGGGAAGGTATACTTGGGGTTCTAGATGATTTCAATTTTCTTCACCATTTTCCGGAGGGAGACCCCATAGCAGGTCCCATATTTACGGACAGTGCCAATCTTTTGGTGTGTTTAGCCATTGTGGTGCTACCTAGGCCCAAGCCCAGAGAGATAAACTCCAGATTTGAATATAGTGTATTTCTTTTCTTTCCTCATTGAGTTTATTGGTACATTTTAGGTATACAGTACAGTTACATTCATCATTGGGATCTTGCACCTTTGCATGACAGGTCTTGGTTCTCATTTTTTCCCCTTGTCCCTGCCCGCCCTTCACCCTCTCTTCTTCTCCCCATTTATAAACACTTTATTTCCATTTTCTCATTTTCTCCTATTTTTTTTCTTTGCCCTTATTACCTTTCCCCTACCCTTCCCACTTTCCCTACTATAGTGTATTTCTTGAGTCAAATGAATGGAACAAATGATGTTTTATTATGCACATAATTGTCTGAATGTTTGCAGTTTTTTTGCCTTTGAAGTGAGATGGGAGGGTCCTGATTTGACTAACAGATAAAGCACTTAATAAATGATAAGTTTTATTATGCACATAATTGTCTGAATGTTTGCAAGCAGTTTTTTTGCCTTTGAAGTGAGATGGGAGGGTCCTGATTTGACTAACAGATAAAGCACTTAAAGGGAGTTTAATTAGAACCTCAGAAAGCAATTTTATTCTGGAGACTGGAGCCATTGAAGACAATTGAGTGGGAAAGGATGGGAATTTTCCTGATCATATCCTATACTGAATTACACTTTAATTCTGCATAGGAATTGAAATGTCAATGGCAGTTTTAAAAAACTGGAAACCAACTCTTCTATTTTAGAAATTCTCCAAGTTTCTCTTCCTCTTTCCATTTTTCTTTCTTTCTTTCTTCCTTTCTTTCTCTTTCTTTCTTTCTTTTTTTGGAGGTGATCTCACAACCTTGGTACTAAGCTACATCCCCAGACCTGTTTTTACTTATTTTGATACAGGGTCTCACTAAGTCTCTAAATTGCCCAGGTGGGGCTCAAACTTTTGATCCTCTTTGGATCCAAGTCCTTATTTCCTTCTTTAGGCTTAATGATTTCCTCAAGCTGATATGAGAATTACTTAAGATAGTGTAAAAAGTACTTAGCAGACAGTGTCTCATTTCTATTTCTTCTCATTTATTTTCCTAACTCATTTAATTATTTTACACCATTTAATTTCCGTACTTCCTTGGAACCTGGGCTTGGTGGAAGAACACAAGGGATAATTTACCAGGTACTCACCTCCAAGTTTTTATTTGCGGTACCACTGACGATGAAGAAGTTAAAGGTAGACTACTCTGGCATAGTGACTATTTTGAATTAAAGACATCGGCAAAACAGCAGATAGAAAAGAATCATTCTGACCTCTTTTCTGTTTCTTAAAAACAGAAGCTAAAATTCCCACCCATGTGAGATATCCACCCCACATTAGAAAGAAAGCAACTTTCTACACATTTTACTTTGTTAAAATAACTCTTTAAAGCTTCCTCACATAATTTACTTTTTCACTACCTTTGTCTTAGTATCAAGGAAGGAATATTAACTGCTTCATTGGATCTTTATTTCTCTCTAAAGGCTCCTGTCATTTAAAACCTGTATTAAAATACATTTGTATGCTTTTGTTCTATTGACCTGTCTTATGTCAATATAATTCTCAGGCCCAGTGAGAGAAACCCTTAAGAGGTTTCTTAAGAGGAGGCAGTAAAATTTTCCCTCGCTCTTCCATAATGATGACAATGATTATAACAATAACAATGAAAATGTATTAAACTCAGTATCAGTCAGGTAATTTAAGTGGTTTTCACACACTATCTCATTCAACTCCCAAAATACTATTAATATCTCCATTTTATTGAGAAGGGCACTAAGATTCAGACAAAGTACTTTGACCAAGGTCTCCCAAATAATCAATGAAGACGTGTGTGCAAACGCTGGTTTATCAAGTAGCTCTAGAGCCTGAGCTCTTAACTCTACCACATGCCTTTTCTGTGAGGTCTGCTCTACAGCCTTCTAAGCATTTGTAAAGATGTCTTTGGGGAGGTTTACAGAGTAGCGGTGTACTCAAGACTTACCTGGAATCCTTTCTATTAGACAGAAGCTCTGCAAGCCCGGACTTTGACTCGGTCACCTTAACTCCCCTAGCTGGGCAAACCATGAACTCTTTTTCTCTACAAAATTTACAGTGACTGCTATGGGCGAGGTGCTGTACTAGTATTAAGGAAATAAAACTGCCAACAAAATCTGTTTCATACCAATATACAGAGAACATAATTTGATTATTAAGGATCATCAGAATTATATACAAGTAAGGCAGAAGGAAAGTGGCTACCAGGTCTGGACACAATTTTATAAAAAATACAGAAAAAAAAGTTTTTTCGTGAGAAGATGCCTCTTGCTACAGTCTTGCTGTATCTTGCTATATACTATGTGTGTCTGACACTTAAGCTACTTCGAGAGAAGTTACAAATGCAAGGGTCAGAAAGCCTTTATTTCCCTGCAGAGCCAAGTCTGCTGCTAGGCTTCCTAAGCGCTCCAGGAGACCGCGACGAGGGGAGACGGTCGGTGGCAGTGCCTTCACCCTGCCGTCCCCGGTGACAGGGTCGACCTGGGCCCGGGCCTGTGATCTGGCGTCGGAGGGCCGCTTCCGCCGGAGCGACCTTCGAACTGTAGTCACCGCGTAAGTGGAAGGGAAGGAGTGGAAAGTGACCAAAGAGCGAGCGAATGAACGGAGCGACGACTACGTACGACCGGCCTAGCCGTTGCCAAGGAGCTGAAGAACGTCTCGCTCCCGAGTCAGGATTAGAATGAAAAGAAACACGAGACTGTTCGGGAACAGTACTTCCGCGGCCTGCTGGTTGAACCCAAGGTTCCACCACAGTTTTCACCCCTTCGGGTGGGGAGAACCAAGGTCTCCCGGACGTAGACCGGCGGCTGGATTACGGCGGGGAGGCGAGGTGGGGGCGGGGC